AGAGGCAATGTGAGGAATTTGTCTGCCTTTTGATCCTGAACTACAAAACACACATTTAACATCCCCGCTGCTCTGTCTTCTTTGTAGCTATTCCTCACTTGCTCCTAATAATTGCTATGGAAATTTCTTTTTGGCTCTTTAGTTCCCAAAATGCAAAGCAGGTTGCTTTCCATGACTTTGGCAGCTAAGAAATGTTACTTACTGTTGACACAAGGTTTACCTTTTAAACTGTTCCCTCTAAGTCGATATGACAAACCTCCACTGAAAACAGGACTGCAAAATTTTGCAGTCAAAATCACTGGCAGGTGTCAGGGAGAGCAATCAGCTTCCAAAAGTATTAATAGGGAATGTGTTGGGAGAGTTGTTCCACTTCTCTCCTGCTGGCCTCTACCTGCCTTCCTCCCCTGAGCAGGTTCACACGAAGCTGAGCTCTTCTCAGAGGTGGATGTGTTTCAGTAAATTATTCTTCCTCCCCTCTGCATCTGGTGTTTTGGTCGTCAGAAAGTTGGCAAAACTCCTCACTTTGGGAAAAAGCATGTATTTCTTTGTGAGCTGGCTTCAGTGAAGCAAGTATAGGAAGAGTACAAAGAGATTATACATGCACTAGAGAGGATTTAGAATTTCTTCAACACATGAAAAATCACTCCCAGCTTAAGTTTTTTAGGTAAGTGTATTCATTATGCTGAAGGATGAGGGACACCACAAATCTTGCCCCACCCAGAAGATGAGCAGGACATGAGGAACTTTTTAATACTTCTAAGGCAGCTGCTCACCTCACCTGCAGGTGACTTTATTGGATGATCCAGTGCCTTCTTATCCCCCATTCACAGCTGGGAAATTGTGTGACTTTTGATGGAGGGGGGGAAAAAATCCTGGTTACTGAAGGTACAGCAATACAGACCATAACTTTGAATCTACTTTTGAGAGGTTATAAAGGGAAGGTGTACAAGGGCTTGAGACTTCTGAAAGAATAGTTTAATCATTCGTGCCTTTGTATCAGCTGGTTTAGATAGGGATCAAGTTCCTTATACATACAGCATTCTTTTTTTTTAACTAATAAAACTCAACCCTTTTCCCTTGTTCCAGAAAGCCTCATGTACTAGCATAGTCCAGAATGAAGACGCCTTCCTGAGCAGAATGGGTTCTGGTACTCAGCCTGTTGTTGCCAAAAGCTGGTTTTGGAAAACTAAAATCTTAGGAAGCTGTAGCACCAGTTTCAAGTTTTGTATCCCTTTTTAGATCAGAATTTGGTTACTGATCATGTGGTTTCATGAAAGTGATAGTTGTGCATCTCTCCAAGTTGAGATTGGTTACAAGTTGATTACATTATCAACAATTGTTTCAATTCTTACCTAAGGAAAAGACAACTCATAAAGCTGACACTGGACTCTCATGTGCAGTAGAACTCCTTAGTGCTCATCTCCCCACAGGTCAGCATCAACTGTTTTAATTGTGTGCTTTTCTTTGATGTTTTAAGAAACATTTGAAGTGTGTGGTCGAGCAACGAGACACTGTGAACTCACCCTACATTTACTCATAAAAGAGTAATTATGACTGAGTTCTTTGAGGCACTGTAGCACTGGAATTCATATGAAGAGGAGGAAAAAGCACCAGCAGCAGCAGCCTCTCCAGCAGTGTAGAGGAGCTGACTGGGGATGGGGAGCAGCCCCCCTGCTGCCAGGAAACTCAGATACAAGGCAGGTGTTAACTGCAAACATACTGACTAATACGTATGTACAATTTATTTAAAATACCTTTTAACATATAAAACCCCCTCACTATTTATACAGTCTAAGTCCTAGCAACATATACAAATACTGAGCAACTACAATACATGCTGAGGTAAGAACATACATTCTGGGAGAATACTCAAGCCAAACAAGATTGAAATACATTTTATATACATGTCTTCACATATAAGAGAGACCCATGAAATGTACCTTTGCTTTATTGTACAGAGGCAAATTCTAGTCTTAGTGTGTCATGCAATTAAACCCAACTGTTACATGTTCAAACATATCTTAGCCTTAGCAGATAACATGTCCAAAGTCTGAAGCAGGAGCAAAGTCTGGGACCAAATTCCTCCCAAAAAGGGGCTTGAATTTTAAAAACATCCATTTCTTTAACAGCTCATGCTCCTCAGATAATGAAGTTGCATTATGTTTGCTTCAAAAATAACCCACTGTAGAGAAAATGCTTATTTCTTACACCACCTTAGTCTTCAGCTATCCACAGTTCTACCATTCCTGGTCAGCAGTAAAAATTAAATCCAGGTGTGGTATTTATACTGGCTTGGACACATCCATTTATTTTTATGGTGGATTAATTTTTCTAAGCCTAAACTGGTACAGGTTGAAAATGGAGAGGTTTCTTAACTTGGCTGTAGCTGTATTGTCACATCCTAGTGGAAACTAACAACTTCCCACCCTTGAAATAAAATCAGCTCAGATAATTTCAGTCATAGTTGTTGCTGATAGCTAAGAACAGTTAGTTACCTGTTTAAGCAAAACTACAAAGATTGCAGACTATTATTTCAGGCAGAAAAAGCTGCAGTAACATCAAAAGTACAATTATAGGCAGGAATTTGCTGTTCACAAATGGGTCTTATTTACCATCCTTACATTCACATTTAGGCTTAAATAATTAAAAAAATGTCATTCTCAATGAATGAGAATGGATTATCAGAAACTGCAGAACTGGGCTTTAAGGTAGCTCGTAGAACATTCAGCATCTTTGCTGGTGACAGGGACAGTGGGACTGAGCACACCCTCAGCGAGTCTGCCCACAGCAGCAAGCTCTCAGGTGCTGTCAGCATGGAGGGAAGGGGTGCCATCCAGAGGGGGACTGGACAGCCCTGAGAGCTGGCACCTTGTGGAGCTGAACAAGGCATTGTCCTGTACCTGGGCCAGGGCAATCCCAGGCTCACAGACAGGTTGGGCAGAGAAGTGACTGAGAGCAGCCCTGCAGAGAAGGACTGGGGGGTGATGGTTGATGGAAAAACTCAACACGAGCCAGCAGTGTGCTCTCACAGCCCATAAAGCCAGTGGGGTTCTGGGCTGCATCAAAAGGAGCGTGGCCAGAAGGGTGAGGGATTCTCCTCTGCTCAGGTGAGACCCTACCTGGAGTGCTGCATCCAGTTCTGGTCTCCAATATAAGAAGGGCATGGAACTGTTGGAGCAAGTGCAGAGGGGACCACGAGGTTGGTAAAGCACCTCCCCTATGGAGACAGGCTCAGAAGGTTGGGGCTGTTCAGCCTGGAGAAGAGGAGGGTGTGTGGAAACCTCATTACAACCTTCCAGGATCTGAAGGGGCCCATAGGGAAGGTGGAGAGGGATTCCCTGTCAGGAACTGCAGTGACAGGACAAGGGGAAATGCGTACGCACTGGAAGAGGGGGAGCTTAGGTTAGATATAAGGAAGAAATTCTTTACTGTGAAGGTGATGAGACGCTGGAACAGGTCAACATAGAAATTATAGTTACTCCATCCCTGGAAGTGTTCAAGGCCAGGTTCAATGGAGCTCTGAGCAACCTGAGCTAACGGAAGATGTCCCTGCCCATGGCAGGGGATTAGAAGTCGGTGATCTTTGAGGTCCCTTCCAACCCCAGCCATTCTATGATTCTATATAATATCGTATTTTAGATGCTGAACAGGCCACAAGTGATTTTTGACTGCAGAGTTTATATACAGCCCCTGTGCAAACACTTTCAAGTGGAAAGCGAGGATGCTGTACTGGCATTAAGGCATGGCGGCAGCCCCTTGAACAGCTCTGTGGTTTCTGTTCAGACCTTTTCCATGGTGCTTAAGGACCTGGGCAGTAAACAAGGCTTTGAACTGCATCACAAACAACCCACAAGTAACCCCTGAAGTCCATAAAACTGGGCTACTGTGTAGGGAGGGGGTCCCACACATATGAATTGATTCAGCATCCTTCCAAGTGCTGTTAGAATAAAAATACAGCATTTTTATAGTGGGGTTTTCTCTTACCTAGGTAAGAAAGGTGTGCTTTTTTTTTTAACAAGGTAAAATATGCCATTCAGACTGCTTTCATTTTGTGATTAACTGGCTAAAATGAGTCTACACTATCCCAGTAAATGACCGACTGCAATGTTTTCATAGTACAGAACACTGATACATTCAAAGGATACAAACTCCAATAAATATGTCTGAAATGGACACTCTTTGGAATAGTACTGGTTCTTTTGCAAAGGTTTTGGAATCTTTCATGCTTCTAATATGAACAATCATAAGAAAAGCCCTAAGGCTAAATTTGGCAGTTGTGCTAAAACGTACCATATGTGCTAAATGCATATCTAACACAAACTGTGCACCATTAGAATATTTGTGTGCTTACTTAAGCACTCACAAAAGTATGTACAGATCTTTTTTTGTATAAGCTCACACCTGAACACAGAATAATGGACACTCTGGGTGAGGGCAGGGCAGGGCCTTTCTCAATTCAAGTCATCAGCAAGACCTGGATACTCCTTGCACTGAGCATCAGGGAAATGCTCCACTGACTTGGAGCCAGATGCTATTCAAGTGGCCCTTACAGTACAGGGTAAAATGTAAAAGCAGTTTCCAGGTGCTTGTGTCAATCTGTGCCTCCTGGATCCCTAGGAACGAAGAAGACTGAGTGGTTTAAGGAAAAGAGACAGAAAAGAGATTGTAGAGACAGCAGCTTCTGGTTTTGGAAGGCCAACCTAACCAAAAAGGCAGGAACCTTCTGAGGAACACACAGCTGAAAATTCCCAATTCTGTTAACAAAAGCTGAAATAATGTAATTCAGAATCAAAACTACTTTATGCCATGAAGCTAACGGGATTTTTGCCATCAGTCCTGATAGCAGATTGTTAAGCCCGGAGTTGTGCAGACATTTTATAAGGAAAAGAGGAATTTTAGAAGCTGTAGTGCTTGCACAGAAATTAAGAGCTTTGGGTATTGAGGTGGAGGTTTTTCCCCAAGAAACAGTACCATTAGGAAGAAATAACTGGTTTCTGTACTTAAACTGTTTCTCCCAATTTATCACTCACATCTATGAATTACAGGAGCTGATCATGAAGAGTTCTTCTCTCATGTCTGACAGACAATTGTACAGTAGTAATAAGAAAGTCCACGGCTTTGTAGGAGACAAGCTGCTAATTGTACATACAGCTAAGGAAAAGCAGAATTACTGTTTTCCCAGACCTCCCATACCACATCTTTTGGTTCAACGTTGTATTATTTAAGACTAACAATACCAACACAATGGAATTAAAAAACTGAAGCTGTGAGCTTTATGGAACTGGCTTTTAGAAACAAGCCATCATTGTACCTTACTCATGAACTAACTTTGTTCATCCTTACTCACAGTGGGATGGGCCACGCTCTGTGGCACCTGGTACACGAGCTGGTCGGCACTGCCCGGTCCCGGCTGCCCCTTTGGTATATCGTACAGTGCCTGTGCTGAGGATGCACTGTCCGTCCTGGATAACAGTTTATTGCATGTTCCAACCAGTGGAGGAGCTTGATTCCCTGCAGCTTTGAAGGTGGAAATGGAAGGAGCACCAAGAGGTGTGCTGGGATGGCTGGACATGTCCATGATTATCGGAGTCGCGTACTCGGGTACGGTTACAGGCAGTGGCTCGGCATAGGCGTGGTAAACTTCTTGGATGGGGGAATTGTAAGGGTCCAAGTCAGCATAACTGGCTTCTTTTCCTTCCTCTGGTTTGAAGGTTGATCTCTGGTGAAGCGTGCCCACAATTCCCCCTACCAGGGGCTGAGCATATTCTGTGTTGCAAGACCCAACAAAACAAAACATAAACGCACTTAATGGATTGTTTTACAGCAGCATCACATTAAATACGGACTGTCAGTAGTCTCCCATAGATCACTATCCTACATCAAACCAGTGGTCCATCTCTGTCCCCCAGTGCCAGTCTCTTTGGAAAAGGACTCCTTTCCACCCAATAGGTAAAGCCATTGGGATAGCCAAAACATCCCCACTTCTCACGTTTATACCTCTTCCCAGGTGAGCTGCAATTTCCCATGCTGCAAATCTGCCTGAAAACGAATCTTATTGAGATGTTCTTCTCTTTAAATTAGAATTAAATAAAATTATTCTGCCTGAGTCTGGATAAAAAGTGGTCCTTGGGGTGGAGGGTTTGTCCTTTGAGGGGGGAAGCCTGCACAGAGTCTGAGATGTTTTAGCTCAACAGATAATCTGAGCCACAAATGCTGGAGGTGAAAAGCCTGATCAGCTCAGAAAAAACAGACAAGCAGCCAAAAGGAGAAAAGTAATTCTGCCTGCAGTGAAGCTGTAATTCCTGCACATCTGCCCAATTCTGCCACCAGCAGGTAAGCACAGAACCAAAGGCAGAGGCAGTCATTCTCCTCCCATGCCTGGGTCACCAGGGAAAGGGCAGGTGCCACTATCCATGAACCTTCCTTTTCCAGATCACAAGTATGATTTAACCCATGTACCGAGGGTAGAGAATCAAGTGCCACATTTCAGATTTGTGGATAAAAATATTGTGGTGAAATTATTTCCACTGCAGGAAAAGATAACCAAATGAATTCTTTAACCCTTTATGAGGTTTAAAAATTAATAAAGAACCTTTCAGTTAGTGCATTAACTTGGGCAAATATGTATCTATATCACATGAAATGAGAGAACAGACACAAAAATGCCTGCATTTTAAGAGATATGCTTACCCACAGAATTATTAATTTCTCCTCTGTTCCCCCTCAAAACCAGATAACTAAATGTAGCCAGGTTCCTGACATTTTTTGGTTTTTGGCATGTCATACATACATACAAACATACATACATATATATATACATATATATATATATATATATAAAATATGGCACATAAAGTACCTGCAGACTCTGTCTGCAACATTGTTGGGACTTCTCTTGGTCTTAGGTGACTGATTTCACTGCTGCTGTAGCGTACAGGAGTTTCTTCATGTTCTGCTGATTTGGTCGGGAAAAACTGCTTCATCCCTTTCCACCATCCTTCACACAGATTAAAAAAAAAAGCAAAACAACAAAAAACCACCCAAGATTGTACATATACAATCTTATGTGTTTTAAGCTACTAAAATATTTTTCAGCACAGCTTGCATTTTGCTGAAGCAGGTAAATAACTCAGTTATCACTATTTTCAGTAATACCCTAGGACAGCAGAGCTGTGAGCTCTCAGAAACAGACATGTAGCAAATAAAAGTGATTAAAAGGTTCCTTGACTATAGGATAGGACATACTTAAGACTGCCAATGAGCAGACACATGGGTGTGCAAGTTTTCAACAGGAGGCCAGAGGAGTGAAGCACACACACACACAGTCAACCCAACTACTGCAGCTGCCCTTTGCACCTGGGGCACAGGTGGTTTCAGGACCATTGCAAAGAGCTGCTTGGTGCAGTTGTCTGATCTGAAGTTTATGAAGCACAAGACAATAGGATGGAAGATATACCTAAATCCCACATGCTTACTAGGGCAATGATGAGAAAATTTTTGACAGAACTTACACACTAAGATTAAAGATATTTTTCCATGACAAAAAAGTACCAAATAAATGGTTATCAAATGTATAAAGCCATTCCATAAAAATTATTTTTTTCCCCTCATGTTGTATGATTAAGAGGTTTTCTACTTAGTTCACAAAAAAACCCTTAAGCAGTCAACTCTAACAGGAGACACGGTGTTTACTACTTCTGAAAAAAAGAAATCAGAGAAATAGCAGTGCAGTTAAGTTTGTCCAGAAAAGAAATTCAGTGTTTGATATGCCTCCCTCTGTTAGCATTAGAGAAGCTTCTGCTGGTGGAAACCATAACAGCAATCTGAAATTGAACAAAAAACACTGAGTAAATGGTTTCATAAAACCATTCTGTTACCTGCACGATCCCAGTAAGGTAGATCATATGTGCCCTCAGTTTTTTTCTTGCTGTGAAAAAAAAAGAAAGAAGAAAAAAGGTTATTTTAGCTAGTCTGCTTATCAAAAGGTGCATTATTTAATGCACAGCAACTATTACCTTGGCTGTAACTGGTCCTCAAATTTAATGCAAAAGCACCAGTAACTTGGCTTGCCATCACCAGTCTGCTGCTACCAGAGAAACCAGTTTTTAGTCAAAGCACTTCTAATGAAAACAGTTAAAAAAGCTGTTTTGTCCTCGCTAGTCAAGTGAATTTTTTTCTCAGAGAGAATGCAATTCTTTCCACAAGTGCAGACCACAGAGTTCCCACAGCAATACATGCAGCATTTCATTCCCACACACCAGGCTAACATTCATTTAAAGCACTTCCACCCATCTATTCATTTACCGGTTTCTCCAATGCCACGCACAAACTAAGATAAGAATCAGAGTAGTGAAGACCATCACCAGCACTGGAACCAGAACTGCTGCCAATGCCACATCTGAAAGCCATTAAATTAAGTGGTGTCAGACAGAAAGAGCTGCTCATAAATCAATTTTTGATTTGAAAATTACTTGGGTAAAGCACACAGTTTTCACATTTAGTGTCTATCACACCAGATCCCCCAGCTAAGCTACTCTGCTGGATGCTCCCACAGTGCAAACTTCACATCTGTCTCTTCTACAAACATGCACAGCTGGTGTTTTTGCAGGATTTTTCATCAAATTCAACCAGTTTGTTTTAATATATAGCTTTTCCATTACAACAACGTATTCTATTATTTATGCAGAAAATCCCTTAGTGCCATCATGTAAGTTTGAACCTCCTTTAAGAAGTAAATTCTACAGTACCTTAACAGTTAATCCCAATCAGTCTGTGTCTGCAGTCACTTTGCTCCCTTTTCTGACCATTTTCTTTGATAAACAAAATGATTATGCCGGCTGACTTTTTCAAATTTCATGTCAAAAAGACTGCTCCAGAAAAGATTTGCTATATCAAAGGTGTTTTGCTTTAAGAAATTATTAAAAAAAGCACTTGCACCTGATTAATTCAGAAGGGAAGTCCAAGTTACAGCTTCTCCTTCTGACAAAATTTGTTCAGTGATTAGAAGCTGAACTCAGTTTGAACAAGTTCAAGATGGAACATATATCTATAAAATATATATTGTATATACATTTATATTATATATATTACTTGGCAGATTGGTTTTGTTTCTGCATGCAGTATGAAACTGCACATCTGTTATCATATGTGTATTTAATAACTGGTAAATATTAGAAATAAAACACTGATCATCTGCTGCAATTTGTTAAGTCTTGAGAAAATTTCAATGCAGAAAGCACTTAATATATGCCAAAGCACTATAAGGAGTTCCAAACATTTCTACTGTTTAATGGTGGATACCTTTGGTTACACTTGGAGTCACTGTAGTGTTTTTTATTTCAGGTGTGAAAGTTGTTTTATCTGTCTGCAGCGAAGTCTTCACTGAATGAATGAAGTCATCCACGAAGTCAGCATTCTTCTCGTCATTCTTGTTCTGAGGTGGTGGTGGTGGTGGCAAGGTGATTTTAGGAGCACGACCTTCAGAAGAAAAGAATTTATAAGGTAAGTTCTTGGAAGTACTAATTTTCCTTACCTCCTTTTCAGGAGAAGACAGCTGGAACAGTTTGCTATAAAGCATTTTGTTATATAATGAGGAACAACCCCTCCCCAATGAAATAATGACATGGAAAGCAAGTGATGGCATCTTTTGAAACACTTATTTTGTAAATTACCTTGTATTCACCTAAATTCAGTATTTTCCTGGTTAAGCGTAATAACTTTTGGATAAACTAAGAAGAATCAGTTAACGAAGGATTATGCAACCAAAAATTACTTCAGACTCCTTGAAAATACAGCCATGATATAACTTTTAACTGTAGTAATTTCACTTACAATCTTAATAGTTTCACTTCTTGTCTTGCACAGTTGAAAGTTTTCAGTTGTCTTACCTATACTAAACTGACATCCTAGCAACTCTACTTTCATTGCAATTTTCTGGTGCCATTTTAAGGGGTTAATCCTAAAAAAACGTGCAATAATAGGTGGAATGAAATTATTGCGAACTTCCTGGTACAATTCAGTATTCCCTTGAAATATCTAGAAAAGAAGGGGAAAAAAAAAGAGAGAAACATTATGTTCCACAAATACAATAGCAATTAAGTAAGTACTACCAATTTTGATGTTTATTTAGGAAGAATAAACAGTGAAGGATCCAATTCTCCCCAGAACTGTGCTGCTGCCTGCACTTATCCACTCCCTTTACATCCTTGTCCTCATTACATTTACAACTAAATAAAACAAAGAAAGGTGTGTGCACATGTATGCACACAGCTACACAGTTCAGAGTAAAGGCACCATGGAATATCCTACTGATGTTCCCCAGGCAGTGTCTGCTGCTGTTACACACATCTCACATGTTTATGGCACTGAGTCATTCTAACTTGGTCCTTCTTGGTACTTTGCACTTACTCTTCAGATATATGTGGACAGCAAGGAGTTGTGACACTGTGCAAGCAGGAATTAAGTGGTGCCTTACACGGCCCAGCAGCTCAGCACAGCCTGTCTGAGGATGGTATTCATTAGAAAGATTGGGAGGCACCCTCCAGTGTGTAACCACACTGTCCTCTCGTGGCTGCTGCCTACAAGTGCTGAGCCACAACACAAAATAGAAGAATTCGAGTTCAGAACGTGAAAGCTCTCCTCAATCTCACACTGAGCCATGAGGTTCTGCAAGAGAAGGGCACAGACTGTGAAGGATGAGCTCAAGCTGGTCCTTCCTTCACTGCCAGCCTTGCACACAAAGAACTCATCAAAATGTGACAGTACACCAAGAGTCTGGTTGAAGTTCAAAAGCAGCGAGCAGAGTCCCTGTGAGATGCAATGTAAGCACACTGACAGATTTACAGCCAACCATGGGTTTTTCACCCCCAAGCTGCTTAAAACAATACAGCAGCTTGGCCCAGTACTCCAACTCTCCCTCTCCTTCAAGAGGACTGGTTTGGCACCATGTCTTTTGGTGGGAAGTGAGCTGCCTCTCCATGTTAGTGCACAGCAGTGGGGCTTTGGCCCTGCACATGCAACTCTGTGGTGCTGCTACAACACGGGTCACCACTGGGATGACAGTAAATGAATTCTTTCTTTTGAAAGCACTGATACAGACACTGCAAATCATGGTAGACACAACGCAGAACAGAACTGTAGCACTTGCCTGAAAAAAGTCAGTATTACAAGAGTTTTCTTCTCACTCACACCACTTGGTAATCAATAAAGCACCCTGCCATTCTTAAAGACAAGCACTGCATTGTGTAACAGCTGATGTGTTTGCATGATATGGAGCAGTCAAGAGCTTTTAGCACATCTCTGATCAATACAAATCATTGCTGTTTCAATCTTGATACACAAGAGAAGAGATTTCTGTATTGCACTGTTGAGTTTTTGAACAGAATGTCTAGAATATCCCTAGAGGTCTGAAATAATTATTCTAGGAAACTATCCATTCAAAACAAGTCTCTGCTCTGAATTTAAGTTTCTCATTCTTAAATATATTAAGTAGCAACAAATGAAGACAGAGTAAATGCAGGGCTAAGCCTATGATGTTATTTTGGAAATAAATGAATAACACCAAGTAGCTGAAGTTCATGTGCCCACAGCAGACTGCATTCCAATTTACAGCCACTTTTCCCTTACTACTTTTTTTTTAATGACAAACTTGTAGCTACAGATCTCACCAAAGAGTACTTTTTTGTTTTGGTAAGGATGCAAGTGAGAAGCAAATTAGAGAGGTGACTTCCTGAGGGGTTGCACCCAGCACAAATTGCTGTACTGTATCCTTGCTTGTGCTGTGCCTGCCAGAGCCCAGCACCAAAAGAAGGTGCATTTGTCTGTCCAAGCAACACATAGAGAGGTTACAGATTAGGGACACAGATGCCCAGCTCTGAAAGTTGAATCTCACGTCAGGTTTCTGAGCATGTAACAGCAGGGGCAAAAAGAATCAGTGCCAGCTCTTACCTTCAAGAAAGATTAACAGTAAAGATCTTTACTCCAGGCCTTTATCAGTCAAGCTTCTGATGTGCAGTGTTATAAAAGTAACTTAACTTTACCTGCAGCTCTGTATTTTTGTTACCCTAATTTTTGCATTAAGAAATAGTTTATTCTGACCTCAATACAAACTTAGTACAAACTTTTTAATGAAAAATCACTTTCATGTTCTCTTTATTATCAAACTCTTTCCATTTCCCCCATGCTGTTAAACAAAGCTTGTCCAACACTGCAACTCTGATTTGTCCTTTTTCCCCAATTCAAGCATTTACTCTTTTTTCATTCATGCAAAGTTAAGAAAAGTTTTTGTGTACTGACAAATCTCTAAAAGGTATTTGCAAAAATGACTACAGGAAAATCTTGGAAAAGCTTCTAGTCTTCTGAAAAATGTTAGGAATTCCAAACATGTTTCAAAAAACCAGGGACTAGAACCTCCTGGCTGGTCTGTCATGCTAAAAGTGAGAAGCCTGCAAGCAGATGCATCCAAAAGCAAATCTGTATCAAGTGAGGTGATGGCAGACAGAGAGAAAATCTGCTATTTTGAACCAAATGGAACCATTTCTTTCTGTCATTTAACTGCAGCTGCCATTTCCTGGGTGCATATGATTCCTCATGCCCTGTCCCTTAAATGACACACAGAGTTCAATGAAAGATCTGTTGCCTGTAATTTCAGGCTCCACAATTTGTTTCACTTCAAGAGCGTGCAAGAGAAACAATGCACACAAATTCAAGGCAATAGCTGCAAAGGTTTTCAAAGAAAATTATCAAACTAGCACTGACGCCTAAATCTAGGCAGCTTGCTGAGATCTTATTTTATGGCCAGAAGAGGGCACTCAAAACTAGTAAAATATGCTGGTTTTTTTCCTTTTTTCTTGAATACTTCACACCAATAATCACTTTAGTTCACATGTAGGCTCAGACCCGACAGGAAATTCTCCTCTTCTCTCTCAAGAGTTCTCTACTGCAATTATGTTCAGTGCTCAAAAATCTCTTCATTTAACCAACTTTAGCCTTTTACTTCAACAACAGGATGCAACATCCTACCTTGCAACACCCTTAATCCAGAGTAAAGAGAAGACCAAGGACAGCCAAAGTGACCATCCTTAAAGCCTGTTTCTAAAAAATTACCAGAGCAGTAGTTACAGTTATATGTATGTAATACCACAGGCCTACAGAATTAAAGTAACTTACATCCAAGGATTTTAAGAGAAAGAAGGAAAGTCTAGTTCCAGTCACATTACTAAGAATCCTGCAATTTCTTTAAGAAAATCTGACCTGAACCACTGGGAAGTCCATGAAAATACTGCAGAGCTGTGAACATGGGGAAAATAAGATTATCTTGCTGCTAAAATTAGGGACTTTTTCTGTGTGGCAAAATATTTGCAGTCTGAACATACCCCTTATGCACAGGCTGTTCTCTTATATAAGAAACTTAATAGTATTTGGCAAAAAATTAAGATTGACAGAAGCATTAGAAAACATGAAAAATTATACAACCTGTAACATTTATTTTCTGTAACCACAAGAGGGTAAGAAAGTGAAGCTTAATTTTAAAAGTATAACCTATTTTAAAACAAACAGAATTATTCTTGAAGAGATGCAGTACCAGACAGCCTACCACTGGCAACGTAAGTTTCTTTTAAGAATATTCCCACCCCAAATAGTAATAGAAATAACATCTGTATTTTTCAGCTGTTCAAATCCTTACATGTTTGCATATTGTTATATTTTCTTCTGCTTATCTGTTGTTTGAGTCAAAATAACACTAAAAATGGAAGTTATTTAATGGTTCCTCACCATACCAAAATGACTATTTACAGTTGTGAAATCACCATAGAGCATACACAGAAAGTATGCGATATTTTTACCTTATCTTTACCCGTGCCAGGTTCTCTGTACACTGTCCACTTCTGTGCATCATCACTGTATAAAATTCTGTAGGCTGAGACATAATAGTAATGCTCTGCTAAAGTCGATCCAGTAGTTATAATACCTGTGAAAATTGAGGCACCCAGTTAGGACAAAAGGCTTTGTAAAGATTAACAGATCAGTTTTTGAATCAGGAGTTGCATAGTGGAGAGTCTTCACTGGTCCAGTTAACTTCAAGAAGTTTATCCAAAGTGTCAGGGTCCGAAGCTTCCATAGTGACTAAAACTCAGTAAACTCACTCTTCTTAATTTGTTTTTTAATCTTCATGATAAAACCTTGCTAAGCCCATTCTCCCACCCAGTTTCTTGATGGAAACGGCCCCTTTATTTGACCACAGCCCACTCCTGTCTCCAGCTGCTGACACAGCTCTTGCCTGCTCTTGTACTGCCAACCTAAAGGCACCACCAAAAGAACTGCAGCCTCCTACAGCTGACACTGCAGTGCAACTCACACAGGAAAGCTGTTTTGGAAAAGCTTATTAGCACAGGCATTAGAGGAGTAATGCAAAATCCAAAGAGTCCCCAGGGAGGTAATAACAAAGGCCACTGGTAAATCCAAGTTGCTTAATGACAGCAAGCCATGCTGTAGATAGCAGGGTGTGCAGCTGAGGTTACACAGACCAACTCAGGCATTTTGGAAAGAGACAAATGCAAACTGATCAGCGGAACATGTTTCACAATAGCCTTAAAGCCCCAGACTCTATGAAGCACTCCACCCAAATCAAATTTAATTTTGATTTACATCAGATGACAAACACGCCCATTAACAACAGCAAATCACCTCTGAATGATTAAACCAGGAAATACTAAACACTGGCACTGAAGGTACAACAGCTACCCTGGAGGTTAAACCCAAGATGCCAACGTCTCAGTGCTACTTGCAATGGGCAACAACGGGAATTGAGCTGGCTGCTCAACTCAGAACAGAAAACAAACCACCCAGAGCAGCCTGGGAAACAGCACCTCCAGCTGTGTCTCCAAATCAAGATAGTTGCTAAAATCACTCCTGTGTGAAGGAGCAGGGCCAACCCCAGAGCCTGGCTGGCTAAGCCCACACTGCTTGGCCTGTTTGCTGAAGTAAGGCCAGGCAGAGACTGTTGGGAGGGGGGCTGCAGTCCCCAGCTGTCGGCCCAAGCCCCACAGGAGGCAAGGAGCTGAAGGAGAGGCTGCCAGCTGTTCTCCTGTGTCTGCTGCTTCCTCACACTGCACTGGAAATGCTCCTTTCCCTGCTGTTAGATTCACTGTGGTCATGATGGGCACTAGGGAAAACCTAGGAACACAAGTCAGTACATCTGTGTCAGAGGTACCAGTGGGCTAAGCTCACAGGATTCTGATCTGCACCTCCATGGAGACAATGAGCAGGGAAAGGGAAGCATCAGGAAACACTTCAACAAATTCTGGTGGAAGAGATGTCTGGAATCTAGCAATGCAGATGATCTAGAGATGTCTATGAAACAACACCTCTTCAGCTCCAGGCTCCCCAGTGTATTAGCTAGGAGGTGGGAGCAAATTAAGTGTAATGGTAATTAAGTGCTACCTAAGCTATATCTAAGGCCCAGAACTGAAAAAAAGGATGTCAGTAACCAAAAATTTTGAATGCTGCTGAGAAGCAACATCAGATTCATGTACCTGTTATTTTCTTTTCTTTATTCAAGTCAATCTGCAACCACTGATGTTCATCACTGATAAAAGCAGCCCAAGGAGGTCCAATCCTTTTCAGTCTGGCATTTTCAGGTTTCCAAATGTTTACTTGTCCTGTTTCATTAGGCCACTCAAGAATAGATGATGACGTGATGTGGGAATCAGGAATCACCCCAGATTCCATACCCAGTGTCCCATAGCAACCTGAACAACAGAAAAGGTGAGGATTGAAAACAAGAACTGAAGTTATATTGCTTGGATTTTAAGGCTTTACATTAAGCATTATATTAAACAAATATTAAACTGCCATCTAAAATTATTCTGTAACAACAAGACCAGAAAAACTGTCTTTTGCTTTCTTAACAAGGATGCTAAAACCAAACTAGTCATAAGAATGCCATGATTTGTGCCTGTTCCAAGAGTAATGTGGATATTCTCCTGGTCACCACTCACACAGAGCACTCTATGAGAAGCACCAGGGAACCCTCATGGTCTAAGAGTATCTATTATTGATGCAGGAATGACTACTGATCCATTTGTTCCTTTTTTGTGTCTGTATAATTCTTGGGTTTTTAAACCAACCACAGTGTCACAGTGTTCATTTGAACAAAACCAAAGCATGTAGGAAGTTACGTCATAATCCTGGCCTTGAAATGAAACACATCCTTGAAACTAGTTACATTTTTCTGGTCACCATTCTTACCAAATGTTTCTTCCCATGTTGCCTGCTGCTGGTGGCTAAAAAACATCTCTTTTCTTGTTCTGCAAATGTCTTGTTCTGTAATACCAACAGTTTTCCTCTCTCACATGCATAGTCCCCAGAAGGATCAGCAGAGAGCAATATTTGCCTTCAGGCAGGCAGGCTGAACAACCCAGCCTAGTTCCCCTTCTCCTGTGAACTCCCACTCTCCCTGCAGCCCTCTCTGCACCAAGGTGGGCACTCACCCTCAAGGGAGGCACAGGTGGCAGAGCCCATGTGTGACTGGATCCCAGAGAAAGTCTTGCCCTCGTCCTGTGAGATGGCATTAATAGTTTATTGTCTCTGCTCGATGTACATCACCTCCACAGCACAGGAGCTCTTCACTAAAGGAATCCTTTCCCTCATCTGTCATTTTCCATCTAACATCCTGCCACTGTGAAACAGAAATGCCTCAGTCTCTAAATACCTGCTACATTCCACTCTTTGCTCTGTGGTGCTTCAGGTAATTTCTACTGAGCCTCAAAGTCAGGCAGCTCTTCCTGTATAAGCAGTCTCACCTCCCTGTGCACTGACCACGCCTCTAGCACTGATAACACACTCTTCTATTTCATACCAAGTCATGAAACCAGCTACAACAGCAGGAACACACGAGGACCTTCACCACAGTCTGATAAACCTCATTTGAGCATACTACAGCTTTTTTTTCCCTCACCTAACTCCTAGGCAACCCAGCTACAGACATTTTAATCTAGACTTGCATCTTATCTCTAGCTTATTCAATAATTTCTCAGGTGTCACTGAAATCCACAAAGTCCACATTTTGTCCTATCTCTTCCAATTTTTAGGTCATTTCATTACTTTCATACACACTATCAGATCACGTTCTGAAAGACAAAAAAACCAGAAAACCCTGCCTGGATCACTGTGTTTAATATTCCTTATGCATAAAGACACTAGACATGTAATTCCTTCTCTCAGCTCTTGTAGACATCTGAGAGAGAAATAATTTTAATATTATGTGCACTATATTTTCTAATTTTTGCTTATTTATACATTGCCATCATCAAACGCTCCTGCCCATCAGATTCCTGTCTTTATGTCCCCATTCAGTGTGCCTTTTATTTATGTATTAGGAAAAGTATTTGTTTACTTTTGAGATGTGTGTGATTTCTCCCCTCTTCTTTTTTTAACTTTATGAAAAACAGACTTTATGGTTTTTATATTGTTATTAAAACAGTTAAAAATACTAATAAAGACCACCGTCTTCACATTATTTCCAATATCCACTCAAAGATGGCATTTAAAGTGACTTACAGAGAAACTAGCTTCTACTTGGAAAACTACAGCTAATTTATTTAATTAACCTGAAAGAATCTATTTCCACAGATAAGCAAGGCTTACTTGAAAAATCACCCATAAATGCAGTGACGATTAATCATCAGAGATAGTAAAACAATTCAGAAATATACCTTATTGAGGAATGCACTATGAAAAGGTCTCACAAATGAGAACAAAAATTAAGAAATCAAATATGTGCATCCTTATTTCTATTCACAAAGTTTGCATGAAAGCAGTAATATGTAATACACATGATAACACTTACCACTTGTCTTAAAAGTGAAGAGACTTGTAGATAAGGGTCCCCTGCAGAGAAAAAAAAGATGATGTTTTGCAGTACCCAGTGAGAAAAACTGAAACAAACTATCTTCAATTTATTTTTCTTGTCTGACTGCTTGTCACTGAAACCTATGCACATATGCCTGAACAAGCACTTACTGATTATCCTGCAGTGCTTTCAGTACAAACACCTCAAACAAAACCAAGTCCAGAGATACTGGGTTAAAGGTCTTCAAACATCTACCTACCAAAATGCAAGACTTCATTCAAACGCTTTCTTTTCAAATTAAACTAATCATAGCAACACAAATCAATCTCCTGTGACTGCTTTCATCTGTAGGACTTGATATACAATGACAAGCTACACTCTTTCCCTGACGCTGAAAAACCACCATTAAATTACCATTTTTCCACAGACCAGTAGGAATTTGTGGCCAAGAGGGTAAAAGATCCTTGCAGAATTTGGAAAATGAAAATTTCTGGTCTAGAGATTAAATATATTTGGCAAAACAATTCACTACAGCAAAAGTGTGAGAAACTTAGAGAAGAGAACCTGTCCAGGGAACATGCAGCTCCACAAGGTGAGATTAATCCCACAATGAGACATTACCAAGACCTAAAGTGCTAAAGATAAGGAAATTTTAGGAAAGACACTTACACTTTTGAGGTGACATTGTTAGCCAAGGAGCCTTCATAGTATGGAATGCCCTTGCTGATTACAACATTAATTTGACCACCCAGAGTATTTGACACGACGCCTGCATGAACACCAGCCATACAAAGGGATGATGACTTGAAGAAGGGAGGGAAAGAAAAATTTCATACTACTAAGTGAATAAATTAAACACCACCAATTTGCAACATACTGTAAATGCTACACTGTCCAGCTACAGTCTTTGTTGTTATTACATTAAAGTATTATTCTTAGCTAATTGCTATCTTGGTTATTTAGAAACCATCTTTATTTATTATTTAGCTTATAAAAACACAAGAAGAAGGCCCTACATCTCACCATGTCCTCACCCAGATATAATTAGAATGTAACTGTTGTAATTAAATAACCTCAAACCAACACCAAGGTGAATCAGTCTGAAAAAGCCAGAGAGCAAGGGTCAGCCTATAATAAATTATATTAAGCAACAGAAGATGTAAATATATAGAAAACCTTTTAATAGAAAGCATATTCAAAGTTTTATTTTCTCACAAGTAAGGGGTGATGCACTGCAGATTTTGTAGCTTTTAGCCAAGGGGTTGTATTTTTTACCATGACTTGTGGTTAATCATGGTTTAACCGTCCAGCACACTGATCCACATAAAGCCACAGTAATACATGCATACAACTCATCCTAAACAAGTCAATTACCTATGTTGTACAAGTCAGTGAAGATCAGTAACAAAAGATGTTTTTGCAGGCTATCATGCTCTTGCCCTCTCTCCTTGGATGACAGAATCTGCTAACAAATGTCACAGTGACACTTCCCTGGCTTTCAGGTGCCATGGTGAGCAGCACTCATCACACCAAGTCCTTCAGGCTTGCCAAGAGTAGTAAGCTCACATACAGCAGGTCTGGGATCAACACAGCTCCCCTCTCCATTGAAGAGCATGGGATTCTGTAGGAGATGCAGCTCTCTCCTCCCTGCTCACCAGATGTCAGCAGTGAGAGCTCTGAGCCCTCAAGGACAGTGGACATTAGGGTCACAAAGAAAAAAATCAATATTTTGGATATTTTATAAAGCAGCCACCTGTTCCCATACATTTGAAAGAGATGCATGAGAAACCTCAACCTGAAACTTTGTCTAAAGTGCTGAGCAATTTCATTTATTTCCACACAGCCTGACTTCTGGGAAATTCTGTGCCTTTTTTGAGCAATAAAAGTATATAAAAAGAAAGTCACAAGGGCATTTATTTCCTTACGTTTTGTTAGGCAAAGGTTTCCTTTTCCTCCATAGAAAACAATTATTCCAGATTTTGACAAAAAACTCTCAAAAAGCAGATATCCAACAGATGCTGAAAAGTTTTGAGGCAGAGAATCAATTTCATCTTGTTACTAGCTACAAAAATTACCTTGCAGCCATTTAGTAAGGACTCACTGTGGACCAGAACATGTAACACAGTTACACACTGTGGTGACATTTTTATTGTGGGGGTGATTGTTTAAGCAAGTAGCCTGTGATTTATGAATATTTGGTAAAAAAAAAACCCAGACAGGCACATTTTAAGTTTGTATTTAATACTAAAATCTTTGCTTACTAATATTTTTACATTGTGTTACCTCTGTGCTAGATCTAAGGGCTTATTAAAAGAGTATTTTAAGATAAAAATAAGGGATTTAACGTAATTTTTAGTAGACTGCTAGCAAAACTATAATCACTTAAAAATAAACAAAGCAAACATCCTCCCTCCCAACCTATGGCAAGTTCATTAATTCACCTGTAAAGGCTTACATTAGAAAAATATTGTAGAGGGTTTTGTAGTATTTTAAGTAAACAGTACATTAATAAGGATGCTCATTACCAATTTATAGAACTACTGTTACAGTATTAATTTTGTTTTGCAAATTACTTTATAGCTGCTGAGCATAAATCTGAGTATTTCATCTCTCAAGTGTAACAAAAATTAAGATAACCACTAAGACACTGCTGAAAGAGACATTACAGTGCCAAAAACAAGAGGACATCATTAAAATAACTGGTTCTTTATAAATTTCAATTTCTCAGCCTGAGAAAACCAACAAAAAGTAAACAGGAAGTAGTAAAAAAACCCCACTCTTTTGATTGATCCACCCTTCCCTGCTGGACTTACAAAAGTATTTGAGACTCCACTACAGTACCCCACTTCTTGGAAATGGCAACATCTGAAGCACTTGTCATTTGGCACCAGTGCTAAAAAATGACTGGCATGTCATTCACTTTTGGGAGGTACAAATCCCAGCAGCCAGGAAGCACAACTAATGCCAACAACTACAACTGACTTGTATTAGGCACCACGCGTTTTACTGAAATTCACTTAAGCCCGTGGTATTGTTACTCACATCTCTGTATCCATGAGGAATAGTGCCTGAAATATCAGCAAAAGGAATCACACATCCAGCTGGACAATACTTACTGAAAGAGAACAAAATATCAAGTCAGGATATGCATGCACCCACAACTCTCTTACCTTTATAAAAAAGTTATGTTTTTGATTTATAACACACTGCTATTCATGTATCTCTATGTAATGATATCTCCTAATTGAAGACCTATTAAATCAGACCAAAAATAAAAGTACACAACAGGAAAACAGACATTTGAAAATGTTTTAAAGCAAGTCTCATCTGAAAGTACAGTTCCAGTCTCAATATGATGAACTAATAAAGCCAACATTTTATAATATGAATACTACATGGCTCCTGTCGATTCAAAGTCATGTAAGTAACAATATTAATGGATTTTATTTTATGAACTAGAGACCTGCATATCTATTTGTTTTGCACCCTTAAATACAACATCTGAAATGCTACTTTGTAATGGCTTTTGGCAATGTTTTGATCATAGAAAATGGGCCAAATTACCACTAGCTCATAAAAAGCAAGAGGCAAGACACCAGCACCTCTGGAGCAAGCTTGTGTTCATCTTCCAAGGCTATTTCATACTGCACACACGAAATTATTACCTTCAAGAGTTAAAAGTAAAGTGGAGTAAACTCATCAACATTTTCACCACAGCTCAGCAACAGCTGAAACAACGCTATAGGTTCCATGAAAATGGGAATTCAGAGACTTTGTCACATGTTGACTAAGGCCAGAACCTACAATAGAGCCCTATTTTGGAACCTGGGAAAATTAAAGAGAAATGCAAAGATTGCACTTTGGAATGTTTCATGTTGCCAGGGCCTAAGTCCTCCAAAAAGTAAATTTAGATACTTCACGATAGCCTGCAGCTTTAAACATTGCCCTTGCTTTAGATGGAAATGGGGAAGGAGACAACAGGGAAATTACACATTTCCCCCAGCAGAATGTGCAGCATTCTGTGTCTCCACAGAACCTCATTAATGAGCACCAAACTGTGAAATGGTTTGCAATTTGTAACGCATTTCGTGACTTAGTGCTCCTTAGGTAACTGTAATACAAATTTAAGTAATTAACTTGCGTACCTGCTATAAGGTATTTATAAAAGCAATACTCTTTCTGTGGAAATGAGGTATTAGCTCCTATCTGTCAGTGCAAATTAACGAGGTTCTACTGCATACTGGATGTAAATAACACAAATGGGAGAGACAGGAGAAGAAAGGAAGAGTGCAAATTTCAAAATTCTTCAGCTCTAATTGGTTTCTGTCTCAAATTCTCTGGATGGCAAATTTTCAAGCTGCATCAGATATATGTAACAAAGCAAAGTAGAAACACTAAAACAACTTCATTAGAGAGACTGGGAGGGAAACAGGTAAAAATCAGTCTTACTTGAATTCTGGTTCGGAAAAGTGACTTGCATTGTCTAAACAGGTAATTAGGTCTGGAAAGAAAAAATGTTAGGTCAAGAGGATGATACAGACAACAAGCTTGAATATGCTTTTTGAAGTGCACAAATACATACATTTGAGCCTCTGAGGCTTAACCAAAAGTCTCAGAACAAAAATAACCCACATTCCTAGTAAATTTTCATGCAACAGATTTTTGTATTACAGTAGAACCTTGCTAATTTGTCTGAGTAACTAGGAAATCTACTGAAAATATGACACAAGATAATACTAAAAAAATTCATTTTCTGTGTAGCTTTATTTTAATTTAAATATTATTAAATTATATATTTCAGAGATAAATCAGAGACAGAAACATATCCTCTTCTCACAAAATTAAGTTAATAAGCTAAAGAGGCCTGTGTTTTCATCATTGAATGGTTCTGCAGTGCTGAACCCAAGCACCACAGAGAATAAATGTTAGAATCCTGTGTTATTGGCATCCATGACTGATACCACAAATTCCGTATCTGTGTCTGCTGTGTATCATCAACACATACAGTGCAAAATACAGAGAGGAAAGCATCAAAAACTTTACAAAATTAAAATTTGAAACTCTTTATCTGCTCTGTTTAGAATAACTTTCAGAGAGGGTTTTTGCCTTCTGAGGCAGTTGCTGCTGCTCCTTCATCTCCTTGCAGACAATCTGTATCACTCACCTTTACAATGAGTGGAAGGAGATGCAAAACTAATACAGCAACCTCTCTGAGAGGCTTAAAACAAAGGGGGAAAAACAAGAAAACAACAAGAAAAACCAAAAAAACTAGTCAGCTGATTATGTCATTAAAGAGCTAAAGGAGTACAGGATGCTGCTACTGAAATAAAAATTTCTACAATGTTAGTTTGTATAAAACATAACCAGTTTGATAAGAAAAATTGTTAGCTATCTGCCACCTCGACTACTGCCTGAAAAAATTCATTTTGTCCTGAATCTGAAGCAGTTCTTTAATTTATAAAAGAAAACTGACATTTTTACTCTGCTACTCAAGGTAAGCTTTGATACCGTTTTTTACACTTTAAAACTACAGCAACATTTAGGTAACTGGCAGTCAAATTTCCTACACAGAAGTATCATAAAAAGTGTACTAAATTTTTACAAGTTAATTTGTGAGAATGTAGGAGTTAAATGTACTGGTTCTGTGTTTTTACTAGACAGGTCTAATTCTGCCAGCAGAGAAAAATTACAAATAATTATAAATACCTGATTTGTCAGTGGTTGAATAAGATGCAAGAAATCCACGTCCAGAAGTGTGAATTCCACTCATGAACTGTACTGTGACTTCATTACTTTTTGAAGTAATTAAACCATCCATTTGAAAGCCAAACCCACAGTATTTTCCTGTGAAGGACAAGAACAAATAATGATGCAAAAAACACATGTAATAAGTATCTTATTCAATTTCCATCCTCTTATTCCATCTGCAGTGTAGGCTCACATTAGCTCTGGTGTATATTCAAAAGCAAATACATGAGCAGTCAGTATGGAATTCTCCAGTCCTACTAACTAGAAGCTTTAGTAAAGATACTGACCAGTTAATTAACTTGTTAAGAAAAAAAAAAATCTTCTCTTCTACAGTCTACCTTGATCATTCAATATTGTAGAAACCATCCATAACCTTATTTAAGATTCTGCACTGGATAAGCAAAGTGAATAGTCACCAGCAGTAATCATTCCAGTGGCTTTCCTCATAATGAGTATGTTATCATACTGTAAAATAGCAGAAAAAGAGGCAAGACTTCCTTCTCAAATAAAAGCAAATTATAGTACTAATGTAGAGGAAGTGGAGTAACATAGACCTGCAGGAATAGTTCTTAATAAATACAATATGTATGTAAATTTCCTTTAAAAAGTGAACTGCACTGCAAACACTAACAAAATAATTCAAAATATTTTAAAAGTTAAAATACAAATTCCTGTCATTATTCAAAGCTTTCTAGATGTTGCTTATTCAGTTGTTTTTGTTTTTTTTTTAACAAAGCAATAGTATCTTCCAATAAAAACCAGAAAAGTTTGGGTGGTTTTTTTAAGCTTTGTTTTCAGTCACTGGACCTTGTTACATGTTACATTAATGACCATCATCCTCTCAAAACAACATTTATCCCCTTCTTCAGACAAATACACCTGTCATTTATATCCAGCTTGGATAAAATCTCCAGTGCTCCTGACCCCAGGGCCACATGGCCTTTGACAAACTCTACAGAGTGTGGCACCTTATGATCCATGGCAAGGCATTTTGAGACTATAAACCATTTTTCTAACTCTTCCCTGGCCTCTTGCCTGTTTTTTGTCAATATTTTAAAAAGCAAGCACTAGCAATGGACAAAGCATGACTGCAGTGACACCTCTGTCAGCTGTATGTGCAGAAGATGCAGTATTGCTATTTTGTCTGTACTCATACATTGAAGGATCCTGAGGGAACTCCCATGTCTTAAATAAGGACATCTGACTGCATATGCACAGTGATTTGACTGTATTGAAATCTTACAAATTCCTCTGGATCTTACTTATACTAGAGACAAACCCAACACTGAGCATTTGAATCTTCTTTTGATTTCTTGATAAATACTCAACAGGCTTGGAACAGGCACTAGCCCTTAAAAGTTTTATTAGAAACTCTTTCAGTTTATCAATGAACCCACTAACAATTTATTTTTTAATGTAACCAGACAACTTTTAAGTAATTTAGGGTTAAAAAAGGTATGACTGAATTTCATATTTTATGTAAAACAAGCATTTTAATGTTAGACCATGTCAGTAGTCCTGAATAGAAAAACTTAGGATAAGACCAGATTTCTCCCAAAAAATTTAAGCCACTGTTTAATCTCTCCAGTGTCTGTTGCTTCAAACATGAAAAAAGCCCAAACCCTGCCTCATCTGTACTTGCCACTGTTAACATCACTGTTTGTCCTGTGATTTAATTTATTAAGAGCAGAACAACACACACATTTCCTCAACATAATGTGCTGCTACACCAGCAGGCCACAGCTGAAAAGCAAGGGAAACAAATGAAGCAAGAATTTACTTGAACCCATTAAGTCCCTTGTAAAAGTGAGTAATAGACTTATCAGAACTTGACGTTCCTTGCCATTTAAGGCATTCCATGTTTCCTATTTTAGACCAAGTCTGGCTCAACAGCTCCAAGCACATACTTATTTTCACACACACTTACCTAGGTAACAGCTGGAAAAGAGGGTTAATAAACCTAGCACTCCACTAGCCTCTTTAGCAAAGACTCAATTTAGCAGGATCAGCATTTGAACTGCACAAAAACAGTCCCAGTGAAGTAAATCTCTCTTTCTCTCCAAATTAAAGCTTTAGGAAAGAAAATAAAGTTAATCTGTGTAATAACAACTAATTTTAGAGAAGGAAGAATGACAATCCATTTTGAGTTTTATGCAAAGTAACCACAAGAGTACTAACATCCTATACATACACCTTGATGGAGTTGATAACATCACACTGTTATTTGAAAAGAAACCCACTGACTTGGAGTCATTAAATTCTCCTGAAGATAACAAAAATGAAACTAAGAACATTTTCAGAAGATGGAGGATATTCAGACTACACACCTTTTAAAGCCTGTCACCCTTTAACACCACCCAGATGAACAGCACAAATCAGAGTGAATCCATATAAAAAGAAAGGCATTTCAGGTAAGATGTAGACATATGATGTGGGGTTTTTTTCTTAATGAAAGTTCTAGCTTTAAAGTTCCCTCTTCACTGCTCACAAGAACTTTGCAAGCTACTAAGAAATGTCTGAGAAAAAAACCCCACATTGCAGTGGAGCTTCCTTTAAGAGTCTCAAGAATCCAAGAGTATTACAGGATCTGTGTTGCATTTATCATGCATTTAGCTGTTGCTAAAAAGTAACAAAAGTACCAACAGTACCTCTGAGCTCTATGAAAGACAACAGTTCTCAAATAGTGATAATTAAAGCTCCTACCTATCTCTGTCCTGTTGGGGCCAATGCCATTATGAACTCTCAGGTAACTGGAATGACAGGAATCTGAGTCATCAATATCAAAATCACCAAACTTGAGCTGAACTCGCTGCCCAGGCTTCACACGGATTTCCCACTCGCAAACGGTGCTATTGGGAGAGGTCCGGGGGTAGTTTATGGAGGCCAGGGTCCCGCTCTCAGGGCCCAGCACGGTGTGTCCACATCCATCACCTAGGAAAGAACAGAAAGAAATCAGCTCCCACGTTCATCTTCAAAGCCTCACATCACACCATACCAAACACTTTGCCAGAAAACTCCAAGGTAACTCACATGCAAATGACACAGCAATGGTGACAAAATACCATTCAACTACCATTGCCTTTTGTTTAGCTTATCATCGCAGACCAGGGAGCTGCTACAAACTCCTCAGTGAGATGGAAACCGATCCAAAATGACTTAAAAGCCAGCATGGACAGTACAGGAAGTGTCCCTGCTATTTCATGTTTCCTCAATACCTCAGTACAGAAGGAAACAGGTGCTGAAAAGGACAGAGAAACCTGACAATAAAACAAGAGCACACTGGTTTTACTGAGTTACAGGACTCACAACACAGTGAAAAAGAAGTAGAAAGCCAGTGGACAGCAAATAAAATACAGCATATTGAAGACACTTCTGACCATTACCAAGCTGCTAATATGTCATTTTCTACTTTACCACTATTTTAATGTCGCAATTAACTCTTATTTTGAGAATATGCTCAATTTTTTGGAATTTGCTGTGACTCCAACCTGGAGCCTTCCACCTAACACTTGAGTATGAATTTCATACAGCAATAACAGTATTAAAATTTATTTGTTTAACAAATGGAAAACAATAGCACAAATTGTTTATTGTCTATATCAAATTTTAAAGTGAAAACTTATAAATTCAATTACTAAACAGCCAGACATGCATTTCCCCCAGCATGTAGCACAAAAAGTGCAAGAATTTCTGTGCTGGCTCAGAAATGTCAATGTTCTTAGAGTAACACTCACAATGATTGATCACCATAATTCCAACTGACAGAAATTTGTTTTGACAGCTAAAAGTGTTAGATTACACAATAGTATATGTAGTTCTTCTACTAAATATGAAAAAGTAAGCTGAAATTTAGGTACAAAAACTGTACACATACTTAAGAATTTAAACTAAATTTCAAAATTCTTATATGTACTACATATAAGACTGAGTGAAAAATAAAGTCCAATGCACTGAAGTGATGTGAAAAAAACAAACCCCTGTGATGAAGTTAACTAGGTCTGATTGCAAACACACCTCATTTCTGCTAAGAAAAACTATTCTCCTTATAATCTGAGCACATTGAAACATCTGCATGTTATAAAAGCTAAAGTACTAGTAGTACACACAGAATCATAAATGGATGCAGATACAAACTGCAGCTGTTTATCTTGCTAGCAGTCTGGAATGAAAACGATACATCCTTGGAAAACTTAACTGGAATATCTGCTTAGTAAAATCAGAATTTGTATTTGTGAAGCTGTTCTTCAGCCATGTTTTCATGAATGCAATTTGGTTTAAAACACTTTATTTTATCCCATGACAAACATTATTTCCATTTGGATGACAGCTGATATATTACTCTTCTAAGTTAAGAGTTCTTCTAACACGAGGCACCATTGTTCAACGTTACAAAGAGGTAACTTAAACTGCATGTTTTATATATCATTACAATCCTGGTTTCTTTCAAAAGGCATATTATAAACCTAAGAAAAGTGAAAACTTTATTATGCAGAACCTGTATGGCCCTGGTTTATTAGCTACTAAGCATTCAAATGTCAGATTTCTGATTAGTCTTGATATGTTAACACTTAACAATAAAGGGTTCCTTTTCTACTGAAATGGCTTTTCACAAGCGAATACACACCTTACAAAATGCATGGAATTTATTACATTAACAACAACAAAAACAACAAATATATTCATGGTGATACATAGGGTTAGCATTTCAAAACTCTTTATATTGCAGATATGAAAAGAATTATCAACATAAGCAGCAGTCAGTTTTAGGTTATGTCCTAAACAAAAGCAATGAGCCATCAACCAATTCTGTGTTCCTCCTGTCCCATGATGGGGTAAGCAACTACTTATTCATTTACAGATTTAAATACTCTGCACATACACTGACACAGTGGCCTTTTTATGAAATCATAGTAGCATTCATCTGTACAGGCAGATACGTTGCTCTGAGTGCATTTTAAGGAAAATAAAAATCCTTGCATGAACTATAATGATCAGAAGTTAATTATTTTTCATTATTTCTCAATAGGTCTGTTAGTGCAATGCAGTCACCACACAAATAGTATTTCTTAAAACCAGGAATACCAATAATACACATGATTCTGCATCTTTGACTCTTCCCTACCTTCCTGCACCTTAAGGCTATGCTGCTGGAAAGACAAAAGAAAGCCTGGGTCTCCTCTTGGACCTAAAATGTATTTAAATGGTAAATTCCTCCAGCTACAAGTAGAAAAGATCATGCACAACGTTCATTTAAACACCTCTCCACTAGCTTGCTGTTCAGCTGTCTCAAGCATGAAACACTACCTGCACTGTGCACAATAAAGAGGGCACAGATTTCTGATGAGAAAAAGCAAAAAGAACTCCAAAACAACACATTCAGGAGAGAAAATGCAAATAAAACATTTCAAGTTTTAAAAAGACATTGTGACTTTTCTTTTAAAGACACATCACTAAAAAAATTACATTGCCCCTTGTAGTTTGGAACAATGTCTTGTTTCCCATGGCTAGAGAGAAAAACTTTCTAATTTGTTTAGCACAATTTCATGGAAATGTCAATCTCAAACCTCCCTTTTGTTGTAGGCCTTCTTAAAAACATGAGAAGAAGAATACTCCTCTATTCATATTACAGAACTTGCTGTCAAATCATACTAGAAAGGTAGGGAAAGGAAAAATGGTTGTGCTGAACTGCACATCTTACATCTGGCATCTTACTATTAAGTCAATTTTTAAAAGTAGCTCATTCTGAATGGACATTTTAGATCTTTTTATTATATTTCACTTAGGTTAGTGATAACAGAAATGCCAGACACTTCATGCCTGAAGAATTTGAAGATTACCATGGCATATACAGTCTGCCAAGGGCAGCAGCATCACTCATGAGCTATCTGGAATATTTTAAAAATCCCAATTCCAGTGAAACTCGCAGGACAATGAACCCACATCTTCTTGTATTGGTACTACAAAAGGGCAATTACTGAGCCTCTCCACACAATGTGGTGCTTCATCATTTCTGCCATACTTTATTTAAACACCACTGATGAACTCCAGAGACACAAATACACACCCAGCAACAGGGGAGCAATCTGCAATACTCAGCAATTTTTCCAACAAAAAGTACAATTCTTTGCACTCCAGCAGCATATAGAACAGTATTCACTTCATCCACTTGCAAGTCATTAAGTGCTACAGAATCTTTTGCTTCTGTTAATCTGTGAGAGTGGAATACCTGAGAACACACAGAAGAGAGACATCAATTCCCTAATCAATTTTTCCTGGATGGGCTGACAACCTCTGTTGTCAGTACACAGCTGAACAAGTCTCCTGCTTTCTTTCAGACTTCTCTGTCACACCACAGAGCTCCTGCACTTGCAGGATAGATAAAGCCCTTTGTAGAAGCACCAGATCACTTGTATGCACACATCACACCTGACACTTGGAGATGCTGCAGATGTGCATCCAGTTTCACATGTCCTGGGGACCAAGTTCACAGCAAAGAGGAAAATCTCAGCTCTCACCAGAAGTTGTGTTAGAATCATGGGCACCTCTTTAGCAGCTGGCAGAGGAAGACAGACTGCTGGCATCAGGAGCAAGATCCAACTCCTCTGCAGGCACCTCTGAGTGCAGCCTGGATGAACCCTCCTGAGAGAGTCTGTATGACCCCCCAGACATGGTACACTGACATCTGATGCAATCATGCAGATGATTGAAAACAATTTCTTCAAGCCAAGTTCTTTACATCAACAAAATACAGAACTTGGACCAACACAAACATACCAAATCCACAGGACTCTGATATTTGAAGAAAATGTGGAATTTAATAAAATAAAAGACTACTGAACATGCAGAAGTGGGTGCTTAGTTATAATTACTCACAAAAAAAAATAAATTACCTATACTTTGTAGTTGTGGAAATCAATTAATCAGAACTTATCTCCCCCAAGAACAGTTGCTGTTGGTGACTGCTAAACCTGTTCTCACAACTAAAACATGTTTAAAATAATTGTTTAGACCACTGAATAGTTTGCCATTCCTTACTTGGAGGAGAGTGAATGATAAAGACATTAGACAGCTCAATATTATAATCTATAAAGCGTAACTGATGCATATCAAAACTCCGATCTCAATTTTAACATGTGGCACTGCCTTTTGAACAGACTCAATTTAACCTGTGGGTTTCCTGAGAAGATTTTATATATATACTAGCTATTAATTTCTGTATATCTGTGACTAAATATTGGATGTAATTAAAACTTTTGTAACTAAGCAAAGGTAGAACCAAATCTGTAACAGTCATGAAAAAAAAGGTGGTTTAAAACATTCATTTTAAGTTCAAATACACAACTCTTTCAGATTCAATGCATTGTTATAATTTCTCCTCTTCTGTTCAGCTCCTGTGCTCTGCATTTCCCTACTTTTTACCAGCATACCAGTAAAAGACACTGCATCTGCTTTTCTCAGTGTGGGCAAGAAAGTTTACACAAAGAACAAAAGAGTTCCATGCACATGAAACACTGAGGAATTAAATCACAGAGACATCAAATTCTAAACAGCTTTTTCAAGTATTTTCAAACGTCCTTATTTGTGTCCTCCAAATTCATTGCTGTTTCCACCAAATTCCATAGAGTGATGTTCTTCAGGAAGGAATCTGTTCCTCCGTCAGAATTAATTTTCTTAACAAGCCAACAAGCACGCAGTCCACTTTGATCTAAATGCCATTTATTTGCCTCAGTAATATACTGGTTTGGGTATTTCATCCCACTACAGATGTTTCACAACATAAAATACCCCACACTGCCACAAGCAAGGCCACAGCTCAATAAACACTTGAAGGCACTTTAAATTAGCACAGCCACAGACAAAAGCAAGCCTTGTCTGCCTCTCACTTTTGGCCACATGTTCTCACACCCTTCCTGGTACTAGAGGCAAACATTTATGCAGCCACATGGCCAACCAGAGCAGGGACTTGGCATAAAAACAGCTGTTAGTTTTAACCTAGAGCAACCCCCTAATTTATTTGAGTATGCATATGCAGCAGTGCCTTCCTTGACAGAGGGATAAGAGAGCAGGGGAACACCA